GCAACCAATATTGTTGCTGATTTGAGCATGATACCATCCCGCAGAATAACATACGGCACCTGTACGATACAACGCATACGTGTTTGCATGTTTACATTCAACACCTGTGTATCGTGGCGACTACAGCTGTTTATAATGTACTACCATTTCAGACATGAAACAACTTTTCTTGCTCATATTGAACTTGTTACATTTAAATAATAATCATAAATATGTTCCCTCCCCCTCCCTAGAAATGTGGGCGAAATTTCGATTGACTTGTGCTCTGATAATGGACGAAAATATGCTGTCTGCTAGTGCTACTAAATATAGTAATACTACTAAGATTACGGCAGAGATCACATACCTCATAGTAAACTTGCACATGTCATATACAGACTTTTAGGGATGATCAGGCTTCTGTGGGGGGGGGAATGCAAAGTATAGCATTTTGCAATCGCTTGCAGCTCTCAAAATAGGATGTAGATAAGTATTGATTGAATATTATGCACAGAGTGCGAGAATGTTCGACTGCTCACAAATAATATTTGGAAGTAGTAATAAGTTTTTTGTAAGATTAGCCAAATGGCTTGTAATTTTGATGCTGTGCTACAAATATTAATGACTGAGGCGTCGCAGAAGTACCCACTAGATGACCAGATTTCAATGTACACTGACAAATGTTTCTATGGAAGTTGTATAACCCTGCAGCAAAAGTATTTTGCAGCAGTTGCGTGAAAATACAAAGCAACACCGAAAAACGTACAGCAAATTATCACGGCCCTAATAGAACATCGTTTTCCAGAAGAGGTACTGCATGGACTCGCAATTCACTAATGGCATCTGAAGAAATAGGCCTGCTGTTTAAGTTCAGTTAGTATTTCCTTTACCATCTCAAAAACGCTTCTTTTTGTACCAGGCATAAAAATTTACTATGTGTGGCATATGTAACGCTCCTACCTTGACTGTATAACAGTGATAGACACCAAGGTGCTTTGCCTACTAGGCCGTAACCTTTGTGGAAAAGAACTTTAAAATTTCGAAATAGATTGCTGCAAAATTACTTAGTTATAAGAGTTGTTTTGATAAAGCAACTGATCACGACCGAAGCCACATACATAATTCACAACAGCATAAACAGGAAAATAAGTTGCACTGTAAGTTAGTGCTTATCAGATGATGCTGCAAATTTTATGAACATTACGTAAACTATTTAAAAATCAGGAACAGGATTTACAAAACAAAAAATGTGCATTTTATAGAAGCAATGGGTCATTTAATACGGCTATGGGCCTTTTTATGTTACCTCTTGTTGACGTTGTTACAGATTTCTAATTGCAGGATTATTTCTCCTACCTGTAATTACAATATTTCCAGTGCCAGTGCATGCATCAACTTTTGCTTGCAGCCCTATTTTCTACTACTTATATTACCATTCTGTGGAGTGACGTTTATATAGGACATGTGCAAGTTTATGATGGGATGCGTCATCTCTGTTGAAGATAGAATGTCTCAAACCTCACAGATGCATTACTTTTGCTATTCTGGGGATGCAAATATGGCGGTGGCGTGCACTACGCCCGTTTGTGCGCCCGTTTCTTGAGTTGCGGTGGATTGCGAAATTTATGCTTCGTACCAGCTATTTAGTTCACGTGCCTGATCGCCCCTGAAAGTTCCGTGGCATCTGTCATCGGGAAGTTCCGATTGTTTGCCTGATGAGTATAGTGATTTCGTACATTTGAAATGATTTCCTTACAGATGAAATACACATACACTCACACATACTATATACAGCTCACATACTCACACATACTATATACAGCTAAATCCTGAAATGTCAGTAGAAATTTAAGAATATTATAACCGATTAAATATGCTTGCTTATAAACTCTTTTCGCATGTTATGAATTGGCTTGGAGAGTTTTTATTCCAGTGGAATTCGCTTAGATGCCATTATTTAATTTCATCATTATTATTTATCTATCTGTTTACATATAAATACAGGTAAAAATCGACGGAAATTTTACCATTGGTCGTACAGGTATAGTCCTACCGCAATACCTTTGCAGCTACGCACTTTAATTTTGATGAAACTACCACGAGGATGGATTCGAGGTTCTCCCATTCTTTAACCACCACCACACTCGAAAAGCCTTTCAGCATGCGATTATTTTACGTGCCTTCATGCCTTTCAGTCATTTCCCACACTTATAAACATCCATGCTTTCTAAAGGTTTCGAATCCAGGCCTTACGATATGGCAGCCAGCATCGCTAACCACTGTAGTATTGAACGGTCAACGCAGGTCTGTTCACGTACTGGGTGTTTAAAAATTAATGGAGCAAAAGTTAAGGGATGGTAGAACACCGAAACAAATACATCATAGAATGCATGGCTGTGCGTTAAGCGTTTAGGCGAGAGTTTCTAGTTTCCCTAAGCTTGCCGTCTGTCGCAACGAAAGCTTTTAAGTGCGTGTATAAAAGTATTTTTTAATGTTCGACATCATTTGCATGTGTTTCCTTGTTGTGGCATGGTTTCCCGCGCAACTGATAACTTTTATATTTGATGTTTTTAATTCTTTGTAGTTGTGCCTGAGTTCTTCAGTGATATTTCATGTGATATTTTCATGAAACGGGGCGCGTCCTGCGATATGGAAATCCGTGGTTCATACATCGTCATTAGCAATTTCGAATAAATCGGTATATGAACGAAGGAAAACAGATATCATCACTTGTCTTAACAATGGAAAAAGACGGCAGGTATCGGGAAACGGAAAGCACTCTCCGGCGCCTAACTGCTGAACTTGCGACCGTATATTCTATGAAGAAATATGTCTGTCTCGGTGTGTTCTCTTACCGCTTTGAGTTTGTTCCAATAGTTTTGAAACAGCCTATATACGCAACCGCATACACAACGTCTATACAACAAAAAGATTTTTCAAAGTTAAAAAAAAAAAAAAAAAAAATTAAATCATTACTTCTTTATTCTTCTCGCCTTTCTGTTAGTGTTATATATATAGTTATATACATTAACATATGTGTATGTGCCTGTTTTATGTATTCATTTACGTAATCATTGATGCTACATCACAAAATAACTAAGTATTAAACCCCCGTTTCTATATAGCTTGCAATTTTCTGGCTAGATTCCAAACTTTGGGAAAGAGAACGCTTTTTTTTTTTTTTTTAAATTTATTTTTACATTTTTTTTTTTTTTTTTTTTTTTTTTTTTTTTAAGGTGGATGAAATTATTTAGAGAAAAGGTTTTCAAGGAACAAGTTTTAAGCTGAAACGGCAATGAATGAAAGCACTTAGTTATCAATGAAAGTCTAGACTTGTCCTTTTGATGTTGATGGATACTCACGGACATAAATCCTTCTGCGAGAAATGAGTTTTGGGCTAATTAGTGTAATTTTCATCTTGCAAAGATTTGTTGAGATGCTATATTAATCATTATTTACGCGTTTCTTCACCCTGGATATTTATCAGTCTTCTCATTTTAAGAGACGATGTAAAGAATAATTGAACTGTTGTTTTATTGTTATATATTATTGGTTTATTAACAACTAGACTATTTACGGATGAAATTTCTTGAGTTCCATTTTATGTAATGTATAATAATAATATTTTTTTCCTTTTAATTTAGAAATATAATGCTTTGCATCCGTGGTTGTCCGTAGGATGCATCCTCCCTCCCTACGAATGTAATTTTTTTTTTGCCTTTATACCCCCCTCCCCTCCGGAGAATATTTTGTGCGTCGTAAAGAAGTCTGATAGTTTGATTTGAATAGTTTGATTTGAATTTAAGACTTTTCCATAACATAAAATCCGTCTTTTTATTCTGGTATAATAATAATTGATTTACTTCGTAAATCCGGAATGGAATGATGTTGATGTTTTAACCTTCCAACTAAGTAAAAATGATTATTTTAGTTTTAAAAATTGATGTTATTTTGTCTTTCCAGAATTTTGCTGTCTTTTTCTTTAAAACCATCATTCACTTGACCTTAGATTTATATCTGGTAATTTTTACTACAGGCTAGCTTTTACCACAGCTGAACTGGATTATTATCTGATATCTTTTACTACACTCCTGCTGAAAAAAATAAAGAACGAAGGCAAAACACGGAATAAAACAAAAACTATTCAATGGATATGCGTGAAATTGATCCAAGAGGTTGGTGTGGCATTACTAAACCACATAGCAAACAATAAAGCAGACATACAAAAATACATGTATTACGACCATCACATCGCGAAAGGCAAAATGGATCGGAAGAATGTGCAATGAAAACATTACGCTAATAATAGGTATAGATACCCTCTAACTGAAGTGCATGCCTGAAAGTGGCGAGGCAAGCTGGCAGTAATGTTAATTGCTTGTGGCAGTAGCTCTTATTCCTGCAGTAATGCATGTCCGAACTCGTGCAGGGTGCGACCTGTTATCCGTCGTTCCAAAATATCCCACATATGTTCTGTAGGGTTTAGGTCCGACGGTCTAACAATCTACGGTAGATGTCGAATGGTTTCATTCTCCAGATAACTTCGCACCATTCGAGCTCTGCGCGGCGGGTGTTATTATCCGTAAATATCGTGTCAGTACCCGTTAGAGCGGAAAAAAGACGCGCACAAGAGGGTGTAGAATTTCGTCGCGATATGAGACGGCTGTGATGGAACCACCATGGAATCGCGTAGAGGTCGTTGCAGCCGTTCCTTGATATCCCAGCCCATACTACAAGTAAGCTTCCTCCTCTGTAATGGTCTCTCTCGACGATGTTTGGCGTCCAATAGCGTGTTCCTGGATTTCGCCGTATCGTTTTCCTTCGGGAATAGTTCTGGATGTTGAATCGAAACTCATCCTTAAAGAGTACATGGCCCCACTGCTCTGGTGACCAATTGTGATGTTCACGTGCCCAATTCAGCGAACGCTCTGACATGCGATAGGGACGAAGGAACACAAAAAACAGGCCGTCGGGTGTTCTGCCCACCTTCATGCCGTCGACGCGACTCGGTTTGGGGGGATATGAGCCATCCTGCAGCAGCAGAGAGATGCGACGCCAGTGCTCTTGCTGTTAGTGATCTACGGTGTCTTGCACACAGCAACAGAAAGAGATTTAAAAAAAAAAAAAAAAAATTCAGTTCGAAGTTTTTCTGTGCTTTCACGCCGCTCAGTGACGGGCAGCACAGGGAAGGAAGGCGCACTTCCCTTCCCTGCCGTTGTGGTAGTCCTCCGACGTCCAAACTCATGTCTTATCAAGGGGTTTTGATCCGAAATGGTAACAATCCTACCGTCTACTGATGACACTACGATGCACATTCAGCTCTCTCGGAATAGCGGATTGTCTTGCAGCATTCCGGACAATCCTCCAACGTATTTCATCGTGCAGGTGGTGTCTTCGATTCATGTTTTCCACTTTAGCTATGTCGGATTATATGGAATTATCGTTGTTTTCGAACTAACGTATAGTTTCGGCATGACCCTTTTTGAGACGTTGTGGTATGACTGCGGGATTGCATTTTATACTAATTTTGTTTGCTATTTGGAATCGGCGATGCAACCTTTACCTCGTATGTAAATTGTATGTTTTAATTCCGCTTTGTACATTCGTAACTTTTATTTTAGCGTTTGTTGCGTATCTTTTTAGGAGGAGTGTATTAAATTTCTGTAGAACATCGTAATCGAACTAAAGGGGATGAAGAAATTTCTCATTATCCATTTTCGATCATTAAAAATACTAATATATGCGTTTAATACTATTAAGCAAAAAAGCGCATACGTTTCCTATTGTTATAAAAACTTTTCGCGTCGTCCATAAAAGAAGGGGGGAAGGGGACATTATAATGGGTGGTCTTTATAGCGAAATTCTTTTGCATCAGTCATTGTAATAAGCGGTATTTATAACGAGTTTCGACTATATTACTATTCATTTTACATTTCCAAGTTCTTTAAGGTATTAAATGATTTTCTGTTGAGCTCTTCTGCTTTTCTTGCAGCGTTTAAGAGCAAGAAAAGCAGGGGAGCTCAACAGAAACTTGCTATATTACGAGCAATTGGCTATAGTGGACTATCAAGTGATAGCGTGATATAGCTGCTTGTCATTTGATGATTTTCTTATGTATAGTTTATCAAATGATGAGCTACATACATAACCATTAAGCACTGTATAGGCACGTACTTAGAACATCAAGGAAAGGGAATATCATAAAAAATTTCCTTACGTATTCAGAAAAGGGAGCACCAAAAAATTTCCCAATACCGGTTTTGGTATTATGGAATGCACAGTGCAGGTAAGGTAAAGCTGGGAGATGGAAGAAAGGAAGAAAAAACTGACGTAAATATATGTGGGGGCATCAAAATCTTTTTTAGCACTTAGGCCTCTAAATCAGGCTCTGAATAGCATTATTGTTTGAATAATCGGAAGTATTTCCAGCGTCATTACTTCATAATTAAGATTTTTTGAACTTCAGCTTTTGTGCGAATTGTCTAGAATTCCAGATTATGGGATTTCGAATTTAAGAGAACTCTGTCTGTTTGCATCTAATGGCGGTTTTTCATTCACAGCTTCTTTTTTGGAGATACCCCTTGAGAGTTCACATATCATTAGATCTGATAATAAAGTCGCTATATTGGTAAACATTTCTATTAAAAATTTCTTACTGTTGACGAAATGTGGAAACATTAAAAACGTCGAAGTAAATTCCAGAAAATAACTGTAAACATGATATGAAATGCTGCATGAAAAAATTTACGAAGTGATAAGTCCATTAAGTTCAGAGTTCATGAAAGGAAAGTTCATAAAAACATTCACTGCTAATACATAATGTATGGTAAATAAATCTTGGTAACAAGAAATAAATACGAACAGACATCTTGCCGAAAGTTAAGTAGGTAACAGTACCAAGTACATTAGTTAAGTTCATAATAACTGTTGACTAAGGATAGTAACTACGTGTGTTTATTTATCAGCTCTAAGTATTTTTTTTGAACATAGAAAAAATGATAGAGTTTATCCATAGATTTAATTTCAGGGATGCGACTTGCTGTTTTCCTAACTATGTTTTGTAAAGAGATGCACTTCAATATACTACCCAGTTCCTTAACAAGTTCAAAAATATCTTTCAATGCTTGCAAAAAATCACTAAAATTAAAAAAGGTAGCTTGATTAGCGTTATCTTCACTCGAATGCATATAGTTTATATCTGAACGAGCAAGTTTCTCCGCCCTATCTTCTTTTGCTTACTTAGAAATGAAACCTTTCCCAGACTGAGAGTATTTACTAAAATATATATAATTTTATAGGTTTCATTAAAATTATTGTCATTTTTTTGCCTTATGTTTACAATTTATTAATATAAAATGTAGCACGTGTTTTCGTTAATCGAAAGAATCGGAGGAATCTCGCAACCGCCGAAGGGTTAATTGTGAAAGAGCATGCAGGTTTAAAGCAGTTTTACTGAATATTTTGAGCGCCTGCCAAAAACTATAATAAAATGAAAGCCATGAATCTAAACAGTTCAGCATTCTGTTGGGTATTTTATGCCTTATAATACATCCGCTCTAGTAGAGAACAAACCTCAACCATTGATTTGTAAATGTCAGGCACACACAAGTTTTGTACGTTAAGGTCTGACAATTTCAAACCATGATAACATTACTAGAAGATACTATTTCTTTCTCTCGTACATTACTCTTTTATTGCCGTCTAACATCTCAACCTAACTCTTAGCATGACAGGTATCATTTCTGAGCCGTCGATTGTGCTCTTTGTTTCTGCTTCTAGATGTTTGTGTGCAGTGAGCATGCATTATTTCCGTTTATAGAGCTATGTATTTATTCTGTATTGATTAGCTAAGTTCTGTTGGTTATCTGTATCATTTATTATGTATTTACTTTCATGTAACGCCTAATGGCACTACACGGAAAGGAGGGATTGGCTCGTATCCACATTACACACGGGAAAAACTATGCAAGTAGCTCGCTATCGTCAGGACTTGAACTCCGAAACGGAGGTTTGACTGGAATGGCCTACTTTTGTAGAGTGTGTAACATATGTGTAGATGGTGATGTCTCATAGATGTCTCATAAATTCTGCATAGCGATAGTCCTTCATATGAGTGGGTAACGAGCTTAACCGCTATGACCCATAATTTTCGATAAAAGCGTAAATAAGAAAGTGTCATCTATGTAAGTCATTATTTCTTATTTACGATAAAAGCGTAAATAAGAAAGTGTCATCTATGTCCGCTTAAGAAGGTAAACATTTTTAAACAGACAGTTTATGACTAATAATGTGTTTCAGAAAATATTATTGTTGTGTTCGTGTAATTCACTGCGACTGTTTTCATTAAGTTCAGATTATGTGTTCGTTTGGTTAAACATCATATTGAACCTGCTGGATAGCAGCAAAACTTCGTACGTCGAAAACTATTTAAATCTGAAAAGTATTTGATATCCTCATTACAGAAATACTGATATTTTTCCTTTGTAAGCCTTTTGTTATGAGGCCTGCGAGTGGTAAGATCGCTGAATACTGACAGCTCGATCTGGGTTCAAATCCCGTTGAATCGGCTGGGCGCATGAGAATTTTCATGGTTTTCCCTCATTCGCAACGGGAATATGTGCCAATTTTCCTTAAAAAGCCCTTAACGAAGGCATCTTTTCTCTTAGGCAAATAGCCCTTATATATTTGTCTTAATCCATATAACTATATTACCGACAAATTTAACAGTTTATTTTATTTTAATAAGCTTTGCTGTTTATAGTGTTTACAATAATCCCTTCCCCAGTTGCCCTCTAGGTGGTTTCATAATATTTTAAGTTTTTCTCAAAAATAAGACGTTGGAAAGGTATAATTCTCAAACAATATCCCTATGTATGAGGAAATCATAGGATATCAATCAATATCTTTGTTTAGGAGGAATGCTTGATATGCGGAATTGTTTGTATAGTATTGCCAGCGACATCTAGAGTAGATAGCATGTGTGTGTTTTATTTTACTTCCATCATTTACCGGTGTTATAATTGTAGCTTTCTGTGTATACAAGGAGTATGCCAGTTATATTTTAAATTCTGAAGCATAAGAGATAGAGAAATGCTATTCTAAAGAATGAAATAATGCAAAAAGATTTGGTTCACAAAGAGCAATAAATGACTGTCTTTTGGACTTTGATTCAAAAGCCGTGTTTACTACGTATTCCGTAAACCATTCAAATTATATTCATTCTTTGTCTTCAGTCTAATTTTTTTTTTTTTTTTTTTTTCAAATTTAAGGAAAAACTTCAGAAGTTAAATTTTACCTTTAAAGTTAAGTTAAAATTACTTTTTTTAGCTTAACTACTTCTGAATATTTTTTTAGAACTAATTTATCCAGCCTACTCTTCAAATATCACCAAACTAATTAAACCTTATGTGCATTCATGAGAGTAGTTTCATTTCATCTTCCGCAAATAACTTGATTACCAGTTCTTTCAACCAAAATGCAACAATCTGATGCCGTGTGTTTTTCGACCAGAACATTTCTATTTTAAAAAGTTTCCTAGACAGCCTTGCTATAAAAATGCATTAATAATTTTACACTATTTTAGTGTGATCGGTTATTTAAAAAATTTAAATAGCCGAAATAGAATTTCTACTAGAATCATTCCTATTTCAACAGGAATGATTCTAGTCGAATGTGTTGAGCTGTATCGTGAATATTCGGTTCCTTTCCCATTGGTGGGCACTTAGCCGACTTAGGCTTGGCCACTACTAAAGTCGGAAGTGGTGGCCACTTTATAGTGGAAGTACCTAATACAGCTATACCTTCTTCGGAATTCGAACCCGGGGCCTTCGATATGGCAGTAGGCTGCCTTAACTATTGTACTTCTGAGCCGACTAGATATTCATTCTTTCCAGAGTTGGATGCTTTTCCAATATTTCTCTCATTCATCATATTTGTGTAAACTTCAACGATTTGACTATAGATTTTGGCTGACTTTTTTTTTTTTTTTTTAAATAACCGATTTATTCTTTACGAGATTTGTAACCAATGCATATAATTAAAATGCTTCACATCGAAATAACATAAAGACCACTGAAATTTTGTCAAAGCTATAATAATTATTACAACTTTACACCATCTAAACTTCAGTTACTTTGAATAGACAATCTATCGCTATGCTATACATATATGCTTGTTAGTAAAAGAAGATCATATATTTACTAAATAGTTTTATGATGAAATTGCTTTCCTAAAATGTCTGTGTAAAGTTTATATTACTATTATTTTGTTTTTTGTTTAGAAAGAACTTGCTGTGGCTCAGCAAGAACTATGTGAAGCTCAAGCTGCAAAAGCTGCACTGCAAAAGGAGTTACAACATTTGTTACTACAATTGCATTCAGCTCAACTGCAAGTATCTGCTCAGATGGGACATGCAGAAGATTCTGAGGCAATCAAACAGAAACTAGTATGTGTATTGAATAATCATTGTTAGTTATTCCAGTATTAGAATTTACAATAAGCCTTTTACTATAAAGAAACCAGTGCATTAGGTTGGTGAAAAAGTAATTAGACGAAGCCAACCAAATTTTGAAAACCTACTTCAATGAAATTCAATTTAATGCCTTTTAAACTAGTTCCCATCTGTATTTGTGTGCCGATCCGAGTATTTGCACCGTGATTAGTGTGCTTCCTAAATATCTTTTAATTAAAGTGTGTATATATAATACCCAGTGTGATTTTAGTCTGAATGCCCTCTACGATCATCACTGGAGATGAATACTTGTTCCTTGAACTTCATATCCTCTAAGAACAGCAAGGCCAAAGGAAGCTAAACAAAAACTGTATCGTTATATATATATTTCGCTGTGGAAGAATTGTGTATCTTGAATTCTTCCCTTCAGATTAAACAATCGGTATTCCGATATGTTTTTGAGGTAGCTGAGAGTAGTTCTTAGTTGTAGAGGGCCTCCCTGGTGGAGGGATGCAAAATGTTTGCCTTACCATGATAAGGCCTAGTAAAGCAACATGAAGGCCCGATGAAGCTACAACACCCTGAAGATGTTAACAATTTTTTGCAGAAATGAAACTTGCAGTTGTATTTTATCTCTTCTAGCCTTTAGATACGGTACCACAGTGTGACCTTTGATTTTTATTGTCTTATGTCCAGATTAAAAAATCGCTGTTTTGATTCAGCAGCTGATAAACTCTTTAAGTCGGCGTATCGTCAGAACCTTTCGATTGAAAATACTTCAGAAATATTCGAATTATGGTATATTTACTACGATCTGTGCACGAATGCCAAAAGATACATATCACTTTGATGGAAGTAACTATTAGATTGCACAAGGCTATAATATGAACCTTGTTTGTCTGTTGATCTTGGAAAAAACCACGAAACTCTTCTGCGCTCAATCTATTCATCAGGATTCCTGAACGCTTGAATGGGCCAGCAGAGTAGGGTTTTATGGTTTTCCCCAAGGTCAATAGACAAAATAATGTTAGGCAGTTTCTGATGCTGACGTCACTTAATTATAGAAATGGGAAAAATGAAGTATTTTCTCCCTCCTTTCTGCATGCCTTCGTGGTGTAACGATAGCATACTCGGCGCGTATTAGAGAGGTTCAGGTTCGAATGCCGGAGAGGACATTGCTCATTTTTCATGTCTCCTGCTTCAAAATAACTTAATGACTCTACAGTGCTTAATAAATGCCTTTCACGTTTACAAATGAAAATGTAGAACCAATATGTGTCTATAGCTTTTGGTAAAAAATCGAGTATTATTTTTGTCTTGTAAGTTCTGACAAAACTTCGAGGGTTGCTTACTTAAAGTGGAGGAAGGTCTTTGCGAAAGACTTTTTAAGCAAAACAGACTCGTATTGAAGATACACTTGGGGAAAATCACAAAAACTTTAAGCAGCTAGCCCATTCACTATAGATCGAACCCGAGTCAAACTAACGCTTTTCAGTGGTCTTATACATTAGGCGTCTGCCGGCCAGATAAATAATAACAAAAGGCACATATATAATTAGTTCTGCTGCCTTTCTTTGAGCTTTCAAAAATTTCAGCTACTTTCGAAGATTATAAGTCCCAGTTTAACTTTCTTCATATTCATTTTAATAGTCATCACCAATACGACAAATTTCACGATTTCATTTACAGAATTCATAAATCTGGCAGATTTCACCCCTTCAGTTGTTTTTATAGCATCAGAATTTATCTTTTTCATTTATTTTGGTAGCAGTAATAATGCTACAATTCTTTTATATACTTATTTCTTTATAGGTTTTTCATTTGGATCTTACTACTTCGTTGGGAAAGCCAAGAAATCCATTTCTTTTGTTTGGTATGATTTTAATACTTTCTGCTTCATTGCTTTTCTATTGTAGTTTAGGCATTCTTGACAAGAAGCCTCGTGGTGTTCGCAATTTGCAGATTTTGTTTTAGTTCCTCTGGTTAATTAGTAAGAATAACTGCGATGTTTTCTAGTGCTTTTTTAAACATTTTGGTTTGTTATAACATGCTGTACCCGCACAGCTGTCGGTTTTAACAATGAGTTAGTGTAATGTGCTGCTTGTATGAGTAAATTTAATTCTCATACTCATTAATACGTGTGGCGCAAAGTTCTGTCGAGGGTGGGATGAATTGACGTATTTACCTCAGATGCAATGGCATATTTGCTTCAAACTAAAAAGATGTGAAGGAGTATAGAACTAAGATATAACGTAGAGTATTTCAAATTGAATAGTTCAAAAAGAAAATGTAGGGGAAAAAGGGGGGCAGTTCTGTATCTCTCATTCTACTGGGCCGATTGAAGAAATTCAACTTGCGTTTTTCATGTCTCGAAAGCGCGACTTAGGATATGTATTAGATTTGTATATAGCATTATTCTAATATAGGTATTTTGACACAAAATCGGATTTTTTCTGAAATAACATACCAATTTTTTTCCATATTTGAATTCTACGACTCAAATTACACCAAACTACAAGTTTCATAAAAATCGCGCCAGCAGTTTTTAAAAAACTAGCTCTTAAAATTTTAGCTCCTCAATGTTCATTGAGTTTGGTATATATTTATTAATCTATCTTTTTTTATTAAACTTATTTAATTCTTCCTTTCACATTTCGAAATTCTTGTTCATTCCAAATAAAATTCACCCATTTTTTATGTTTTTTTTTTAATTTGTATTTTAAAATAATTTTTAAAAATATTTCTAAAAAAATTTTGAATTATAATCTATAAAATTTTTACCATCATCCTAATGTAGATGTATTTCTAAGCATACCTGCAAAAAATTGCAATTTTTTTATTCAAAATTTCCGAAGATATATGTGAATTTATATTGTTACGTTATTTTCTTCCTTCACGTTCGTACGGGGTTCGTAGATTTGGAATGAATAACGACGACACTTGATGAAGTATCGAAACACACTTTATTTACCAATATTAATCAGATAGCTCCAAAATCACTTTTACAGTCGTCGAACTGTTATAAACACGCTGACACGATCAGTGACACAGCCTTCACACTGTCAAGCAATAACGGTGGAGACAGCTTCACTGTAAAGCACCCGAGTATAGCTCCCAACTTTGCTTGGTTGTTCTCGGAACTCTACGTACTTTCGAGACTCTCCACACGATGCACTCGATGATACACAAGAGTATAGCTCTCGACTCAGCACAGTCTAAGACAAAACTCGACGATGCACTAATTCGCGATACAGATTCTTTCGATGCACTCAACGACCATCTCGGCGCTAGACTTCGAGACACACGCTCAATGACTGACTATCAGCTCGCTAGACGAGGCACACACACTAACTGACTGCGGACCAGCAGGGTTTATATAGTAGCTTTCGGCTTGTGTTCGAGAACATTCAGGGCTAAACCGGTAAGAATTCGTTCCAGAAGGTTCTCCATCCTTCCATGGTATATCGCCAATTTTGTCACCAAATGTGCGACCACGCCCTTGCTATTTTATGGCAACCCAAAAACTGTTTTGCGGGGAAGCCATCTTACCGCGCCTGTACATTTCGCAACACTGTATTGGATATACGTGAATTTATATATTACGTTTTGAAATGTGGCATATTTGTTGAAAGCGATAAAACATCAGATGTGGTTTAAATACTTTGTTAAAATTATTTGGAAGTAGAAACGAAGTGACTTTTTTTCATGCACAATGTAAAATGGTAGGAATGAGGTGCCTTTTTTTCCGCTCCAACATAATGGAAGGGAAAGGAAGATTGGTTGCCATATATTAAGAAGTTCGCAAAGTGAATTATTCTTGGCGTAAACTGGAAAAATTTCGCCAATATAAATTTTTGAATTTCTTCGTAAATTTCGCACCAAATTTTACAAAATTTAATATCTAGGCATAATTTGATCGTAGAATCGAAATATGGGAAAAAATTGGTATGTTATTTCAGAAAAAGTCCGATTTTGTGTCAAAATATTTATGTTTGAACGATGCTATATATAAATCTAATATATATTACTAAGTCGCGCTTTCGAGACCTGAGAAACACAATTTGAATTTTGTCAATCGGCCCAGTAGAACGGAAGCTATAGAACTGTCCCCCCTTTTTTTCCGCGCAGTGTACATTTTACTCTTGTAATAAATGTATTTTGCAAATACAGACGTAATATGAAAAATTAACACTCTTAAGTGTCCACGGACAATCGTAGATGTTTTATTTGTGACTCAGTAAATGTCTACAGAATAATTTATTTCTTGTGAACCCATGCCAGCATAGCCTGATCAGATGACTCCATCGTGGGACCTATCCCTCATTTTATGTGCTTACTGTATAAGCCCGTGTTTCCCAACGTGGGGTCCACCCCCCACAAGGGGGCAATACGACTGTTAAGGGAGGCAATTCAAAAATGGACTCGTCCAGAGTTTAAGGGGACAAAGGACGTTCAAACGGGACAAAGGACGTTCTAAATATGTTTCATGAAGTCAAAATTTTACGAAATTTCATTTTTTATTCCTCCAAATAAAGAAAAATATAAGTGATGTATACGTAAAAAAGTTTTTAAATTGCGTTGCATTTTAAATAATTTGTAAAGAATTCTCACTGTAGACATGGACATTTAAATGCTTTTAAAGGCATTTAAATAATTGACACATTATGCTTTCCAGACGTTTCTCGCACATTTCAGCCAACGAATTTATTTTATTTTTTACTGTAGGAATGGCAACCGGTATATTATTCTTTCCTTGAATGGCAACAGTAACTGCTTTCAGCTTTGCTTATATTGATTTTATATTTATTTCTTTCAGCCCTTAGTGAAATGAGGGGTGCAAGCAAGAAAAAACGTTTGTCGGTATTCGGAGGCATATTTAAAATTTGGTTTCATACCCGGTCCATAAACGGTCAACTTTTGTCCTTTTTATGCCAATAATGCCTGACCAACAAATCAATGAAACTACGTCGTCTTGAGGCACGTTTACAGGCGAA